CCCCCCCCCCCCCCCCCAAAGCCTTGGCTGGCTTCATTTCTTTGGCCTTCCTCCGAATGGGACAGGAACCCCATTCTTACTGCCATCCAGTTAATCACACAGACATACCTCCTACTTAAAAAGAGAAACAATAAGAAACCAATGGGTTTACCTGCAACATTCAACCTTCTTTGAAGGCCTTGAATTATCGGCTACCATTTGTGGAGTACCAGTCACTCAGCCCTATGCTTAGAAACCTGTATGTACATTCTATCACTTTGTCCTCAAAACAACTTGATGAGATATTTATTTATTTATCGTCATCATTTTATACATAAAGATACCGATGCACAAAGATTAAAATTTAGCTAAAGTCACATGGTTGGTAAGGAGCAGAGCTGGGATTCAAACCCAAATCTGTCTAATGCCAAAGACTCCTAGGGTGTCTTAGTGTAACTTTGTGTGACATTACCTGCCTCCACTGTGCCCGTATACATACCACCATCACCACCAGATATTTTAGATATAGGTCACAACTTTTCAGGACTGCCAAAGTTCATTTGACTGCATTCATACCCAAGCTGGCTTTAAATTTTAGTTTCGAGCCATCTGATCTAGTGGAAGTTCAGTACAAGTGAGGAGAGTTGATTTGTGTTTAATCATAACGTAACACACTGGCACGGGCAGGTGCGGAACCTGGTTCCATGGACTTTTGTTGCCCTTTAAACTATAAAATCTCTGTGATCCTCACAACACCTGGTCTTCCCATGGTCACTCACTAGTAAATAGCGAACCCAGTGCCCTTCCTACTCACCAGGTTTGGTTTCCAAACTTTCTTTTAGCGCCAAACCCCATTTATCAAAGGAAACTTTACACTGGTAATACCTAGTGTCCTTTACCAGGGTAAGGTCTGAAGTTCACATTTATAACATTTACTTAATGTGAAGTAAGTCGATGAGAACAATGAGGACATTTTGAAGTTTATAAAGTTAATTACGATTATGAGAGTTAAAATTTAAATCAGACTCTACATTAATTACATCAATTAATGTTTCCGTTTTGCTTCTAAGTGTCTATTTTTTATGACCACCTTAAGAATTTGAATCAAATATTTGTAAAATCATGGAAGCACCTCATAGAACTCTACAGATCTCAGTTCAAAAGTTGCTACTCTTGAGTGCTTTTCCTGTTCACCCTCCAACTCATAATGTGACCTTAGATAAGTCATATCCCCTCTCAGCCTCATTTTCCTTTCCTGTAAAATAAGGAGATTATATCCACCTGTTTGGGTCTCAGATCGTTTTAAGAAGGTGTTGAAAGCTGCAGAACTTTGTCTTTGAAATTGCACATTGGGGCATGCACACACAAGTTCTTTAGGGGACACACTCATTATTACACCTATCCAAAGACTTAAGAACCACTGGACGAGATTACCTCTAAGATCCTTTCTAACTTCAAAACTATACAGTTACCTGAAGAGTTTTTTTAATTTGTAGAAACTAAGAAGGCCAAGGAAACCATAAACTGAGTGCCAAGCACTATGCAAGTCTCTTTGTGCATCTTTCATTTCTATTCCTAATCCCACTTGGCTGTGTTGACCAGGCCGTGGGAAAATCCCTGGATTCTTTAGGGTTTTTAGTGATGGTCTCCTACTATGTTGTCAGCATAACATCAGGTCTGCAGCAGATCCAGGCTCAGATCAGGCTAGGATTTGCTTAAAGGAGTCGTATTTGCTAGTAGGATGCAGCCCTTTTCAATCCACCCTATAGCCAGAAGAGTTTGGTGAGAAAGGAAATTGAAGTCACTGTTAAGACTGTTTTTAGAAAGCTTTAGAAACTTACCATAATGTAGGTTAGGAATCTTTCCTAAAAGATTCTGGAAAAAGTTGGCTAGAAATTAAGCCCGCTGAAAATTACTATATGTCACGAGACTATTAAAAAAAAAAAAAAAACACCACTGTTAATAATTTTTATTTTCCGTATCTGGCCCCAAAAAGTCTCAACAAAATGGCTGTATACCCATTATGGGTCCTTGAGACCTGAGGAAAGGTTTTCTGCGGACCTAAGAGCAGTTTCTCCTCCCTTTTCTGGGAAAATTTCTAGAAATATCCTTCCTCTTTTCCTCTGGGCATTGCCATGCATGGGTGTGAGAGCT